TTGTTCATCCACAGTGCTCTCGGATTCTTTGGAGATATTGTAATTGTCAAAGTGCTTAATGGCTTCATTCCATCAGCCACTATTTATCAAGGACACTAAAGGCGTACTCAAATTCGATTAAAGTTACTTGAATAATGTTTAAACGTCAATTGCCGCGAAAAAATCAATTTTAAACTTTTCTTTATAAATCCGTGTGAAGAAAAAATAAGAAATAAATGACAATCGACTACATGTATGTGACAAGTGTTACAGTGACAATGAATTAAATAATATATAAAATTCTACAAAAAGTTCGTACGTCAGTACATTTCTTTTATTTCGTTTAGTTTACATTTGTTTTATTATTTTCAGTTATTAAGTGAATGAAGTTTGGAGCCTGGAACCCCAATAAGAAAAACATATAGCGGGAATAGACGGAATTACGGTGAGGGCTATGAGGACGCGGTTAACGCTGTGAGATAGCGGTCATCTCGCGATGTGGTCACGTTGTGTGGTGCAGTACCGGCTTGTCACTATCACCCTCCTCTACTCATTGGTTCCACATACGCATCACTATCGAGGCAGTGCGCCCCGTTCGAGCATCACTGTCAGGGTACGATACACCCGCATCCCGCAGACAGATCATTCTGCCTCGTTCTAATTCACTCCGATGCTGATTTTGCGCCTTTCGGCATCCACGAGACATACCGGCACTGGCTTGCACGTTTCCACGTCGTTTGGCTCTACACCGACTGAGTGTGACGTAACACTAACCTGATGTGTCACGCAAAGTAGGGCGCTTCTAGGCTAATGTGCACGTAACCTTTTCGAAAATTTAATCACTTCTTATGCACACATTGTTCTACACATCTGCAGCTTTTATTGTTTCCGATCATTCCTTCCGAGTATTGCAATTTTCACAAACAGCATTGTATATGAGTTAGGGTAGGGAAACCAGAATTTAAGAAAAGTGTACAGAATACACTTCTCCCTTTGGTACGCCAAACAGTTTTAACTATTTTTGACATATAAATAAATTTAAATTTAAAGTATTTATTTAATTTGTTTCATTTGTAAAAGTAAGAAATGACTACTATTATTGACAATTAAAATTATTGCTGATTTGTACAAGGAGCCCTTCGATTGAATTTGTTGAAATGAATTTTTTAATGTTTTAACTGAGGTGCACGTAGGACAGAAATTGTATTATTTCAATAATACGTAACAATTTACAATAGTGCGACAAAGTATGTGCTTAATGATATCTGTTTTTCAAATTTAGATCTTTAAATAAAGTCGTGTTCAATTTTTGAAATTAGGGTTCATTTCGAGTATTTTTTGTAGATCCTCAATATTGTAAAATATTAATTTCCTCCGCTCCTTGTGCCGGAGCATCGTACGTCACCAAATGACAATGGCAACTCCGCAACATGACCTTTCGAAATTTTAAAAATGAGTTATCATCGTGGTTACGCGGAAGAGCAGCCCTAAAGGACCGAGCCTCGCCACTAATAAAGACAATTTATTATTATTATTATTATTATTATTATTATTATTATTATTATTATTATTATTGGGCAATGTTTCTGGGTTTTGAAAGACAGTGTTAAACTGTTGAACTTGGTTTGATGTTTTCGCTTTAAAAGAAGTAATTATCACACCTAATGCTCTACGATTGGTAATAATGAATTTTAGAAGTGATTGCCAGGGCTGGCTATTAGTGTTTATGTTGGTAGTTGGTTCATCCAATTGTTATTACATTTATTTTATGTAACATCAATAGAGTTCATTTTTGCAATGCAAAAAAGTCGTTGTGGGAACTCCACAATTTCATTGAGGAAATATCTCTATATTCATAATTGCAGTTGTAGGAAAACGCCGTAATATTTGAATTTATGCAATTGTCAAAAAGTCAGAGTTTTCAACGAGCATTAGACTTACACTATCCTCGTAAACGTTGTTCACACTATTCAACAAAAAAAGTAAATCAAAAATGGGTATTTTTTTTAAAATTTTGATAGCGTCGCAAGGGCTTCATGTAAAGTACCCCCAAAATTCAAATATCGATTGAAGAGGCCGCGACATCAGACAGCCTGATTGGGGAATATCAATTTTAGGAAGAAAAATGGCTGAATGGTTTAGCCACTACCGTTGTTCACCCACGGACAGACTGAAGGACGTTCTACTGTCAATCTATTTTTCGGTGTAAAGACCCACAAAACATAAATCCTGGTTACACCACGTATTAGAGATTTTTTTCTTTTTTTTAATTTAGCAGCTGGATTTATCCACTTTTTTGTTACCAGAGAGCTGTAATAATAATTTTTTGCCGAAAATTCGCCGTTTATTTCGCGCAGAATTACGTACCTTTCTCTCTACTCCGTAAGTAGTAGCGAGAAAGTGAAAACTGGGCCTGGGCCTGGAAACACCTCTAGCTGGCAAATGCCATATTAATCCGACCTTAAAATGTTAAATTTATACATACATGCATTCCAATTTCAGATGCACGCATAAATTGGGGAAAAAGTAAATATCTTCTGTGCATATGGATGTTGTAAATGGTTTCATGAAGTATCTAGGAATTTGATTGTGGTATTCCGCCTGTTCTCATTTTGCGCATAGCGGCTGAATTCTCATTCCCAGTACGTCACTGTTTACAACACTGGAGATGTCACGCGATTAGGAATCAAAAGCTTCAGTCTTCACGTGGGCTGCTTGAGAGCGGGCACTTTTTGTTGCTGAAGGATCCCATTTTCTACACAGTCTGCAGCAGCTGCACGTTTGCTGCTGTAGGCCACTAAGTTCACACTCGTTCAAAGAAGAAAATATTGTTTAATTGTAATGAAATACCAATGAAGAAATTACCTTTATTTTGGTGAAACTTTCAAAATGCGGAAAGCCTGCGGCAGGCCTAGAGCGTAACTGAAGGAGCAAAACCGCGGATGTGATCGGATTCGAAGTATCGTAAGTCAGGTGATCTGTCCAAAAAAATGTCATCGATCATACTGCAAATTAGTAAGACATGTCTCGCAATGTAGTGAACAAACTGATTCAATTCTTTATAGGAAGAAACTTTTCGTTTCAGCGGGCTTTGAGTAATAATAATACATAAGAAGAATCATACTTGGCCACCCAATTATGTTTTTGGTATCAACTGTTAATTTTTGTGAATTAGAATAATTGACCAAATGGAAAGGTAAGAAAAATTGAGAACCGTAAGGGATGCACCACTAATAAGGTAAACATGTTTAATTTTTTCATGATAATCTAATTTAAGTACAAAGCATTGTTTCCTATCAATAAGGGAGAAAATACTCGAAGAGAGTCCAATTAATTTTCGTATTAATGTGGTTATGATTGATGTGTTTATAGGATTAATTCTTTCAGTGTTCAAATATTGAGTAAGTATACTCAATAATTACTGTTTAATTAGTATCATCATTCACTAATAACTATTGGATTGATTTTACGGTTCACGAAGACAGCAAATTATAACATTATTCCCTAACACGTCCACTTTTAGTGGAATATTTTTTACTTAGGGAAATGTTGCTTGTTTGCAGAAATTATTTTTCAATACAATTCTGCGGAACAGCAGACAAGGTAAATTTTCGACAGCACCTAACCTCAACTGCTAATTAATGACACTAAAACTGCTAATATTCTGAAGCATAGGATTTTCTGTTTCTGAATGGAAAATGTTTCGGGAAAACTATCTCAGCTGAACAACGTCCAAACAAAATATAAATTTTAATTTAATATCAAAAATTAACCAAATCCTAGACACAATTGTATTTTAATTTTACTTTACCGTATACGTACGTATATACGGAGTAATATACGTAGTACATGGAATGTTAAGTAATGTTGCGGAAAACCAATTTCGAGATTTCAACGGAAATACACGTTTTGGAGTCCCCAGATACCGAAAAACTGTTGTTGTTGATTTTTTTTTTGCCAAAATGTCCGTCCGGCTGTCTGTGAACACCACCAGCGACTAAACAAGGCATACGATTTCTTTCCAAATTGAAGAAACCCCTGTTCATCTGTCTCGAGTCAAAACTTTGAGATTTTGAAAACGTTCTTTAAAATTTGTGAGTACTTTACATGAAGCCTCCCGGACATTTCTCAAAAACGGCTTCACAATTTTTCTTTAAATTACTTGTAAGAATAGAGTATTATACACTTATAAGCGTGACATAGTTCCCGATTTTCACGGTTAACTCTGAATTTTTGAAAATTACAAAAGTGTGCAAAAAAAAAAGCTTTTTATTTCAAATAAAATTTGTTATCTGTAGTAAGTTCTTTCAGTAAGGTCATGAACATTTTTTGAAACTTTAGTAGTTTAGTCGCAATATTGTGTGGGATAGTGCTAAATATACTCTATGAGATGACATAAACATCAGTTTGCTCTATTCTTTGTTGTATTTTTTCAAATATTACAAAAAAGTAATTTTTTGACTTGTCTCTTACGTTGTTAATATTTACATTAGCGGCAATTTGTTTACATTATTATATTTATGAGTGCATGTGCTTTAAAAAATGTCATATAAAGTTTCTCGAAAACTCAACCACTTTCTGTCAAAACCAGCTCAAATTTGCGCATTTTCTGAATCGCTCAAAAACCATTTTCTCAAAAACGGTTAAAATTTAGAAATTACAGTAGCGCTTAAGGACCATATCTTAAAAACTGCTCCAAATGTATCAAAGGAAATTGCATTTTAGGACGAGATTTTACTGTTTTTTAATATTCTTAAAATAATATTTCCGTACTTTGGGCGACGATAGAAGACATCTTGCATGACTATAGCAAGTTCGCATAGCTAGCCAACACCAAATGAAATAAAATACGGGAAAGTCTGTGCCACTCTGTAGCACCAGTAGTTTAAATTAAAGTTAAATTGTTGCAATTTCAACGGTGCGCGCTCACCATTATTGTTCTTTGGCAACAATAGACAATTTGCCAACATAACCAAAGAGTCTAATATCACAACCGCGTGAATGTTGTAGTTCTAGTTTCTTCCGCCGTAGTTTCTAGGAGACGATTGAGTTTGGACGTCGTCAGCAGAGAGCACGTGGTGCTCACTTGCACTAGAACCGCTGGGAAGAAACATCACACGACGCTGCCTGAGTCACGAACTTCGTAAAATCATGAGAACAGCAACTTTGACAGTCGCTGCACGAATTATTGGGTGCGTTTGTTTGGTAAGTAAAAGTATAATACTTATTTTTTTATTAAATTTAATATAATGTCGACTAAAAATTTATCGATAAACATAGGAATTCTTATGTGTAATATAATAATCGTGATTAAGTGTGTGACTTGTAAATATTGGCCCACTTCAATTTACTTGCCGGGATTCTCTGAAGGAAGAAATTTGGAAATATTGTGTAATCTAGTACTGGAAGTTTGACATTTCTCCACCCTTTTTGTTAACCAGGGTCTGGCTGTGATCTGCTTATATTTTGTGAAATTATTTTTCATCAGTCATTTCGATCACAAAAGTTTAATTATTTTAAAAGGTCTCTTGTTTAGGCTTTAATTATAAAAACAATCGGGCAGTATGGGTCAATCATTAAGTTATTACTTTTAATTTAAATTAAGAGTTTACTAATGCAGTGACGAGAAGAAATTATTCAGTGAAGTTTTATTGAGATCGTTATTCGCCTCTTGTAGAGTTACTTGAAGTATTTTTCGCGACGTTCTATCCAAACGAGATAACTTAGTATTTTTGTAATGAAATTAATTTCTAATGGCACTGAGGCTAAAGGCACTGTCATAAGACAATTTGCAAAACTAATTGGAAATTATTGATGTAATTTTCGAACGCATGAAACGGTAGTTAACTCCATCCGACTTTCGATTTGTGAATTGTCAACTGTCCCTTACGTACTGTCCCCTTGTGCAGCGTTAGCATTGGGAGTTGAGTAGAAACGAGACTCGAGGCCTTAAATGTACATTTCTTTACGGAGACTCCAACGTCTCATATTATTTTAAGTACCTGCAGAATATCAACATAATTTTGCAATGTATCCTTGCTTCTCTAGCGAGAGAGATACTTCTTGATTTGCTAGTTGAGTAATCTTATAGTTGTTCAATCGTTTACAACGATGTGGTGAGGAGAAGATTTCCTTGTTTCAGTTGGGATCGGTGATGATAGCAACTCAGATAGCAGTCGACCTTTTCCACTTCTCTAATCCCGCTTACTCCAACACCACAAAATGGGCGTTCAAATCCATTGACGTCTGGACAGTTCACCACGCTCACCAATTTGTGGACAAAGGTTTGTTGGCCGAAATGTAGTATACGGTACAACCTTGGGAAGTCATTTAAACCCTCACTTCACGCCGTTTCGGCGTTAACTTGGCAGCAAGAATTCTGGGGGCTTTCTTGAATAGTGATGTTTTATAAAAGTGAACTGGTAATTATGCGTTGGATAGACTCGAGGATGTTTATAATGAACGCGAGGGCCGAAGCCCCGAGCCTCGCCGTGACTTGGATCCGGACGAGCGAAGCGAGAAAACATGCGTTTGGCGTTACAATGCGGCGGGGACAAAGCATTTGAAGAGCGAACCATGAAAATCGCATATCCGTAAGTTTTATTCATTCGTATTAGAGCACATACAGTAATTAGGGCTTAAGCCCAGCCGCCACGTTTCTCTAAGGGTGTACCGTATGCTAAATTTTAACCTGTTTGTTTCGGAAGAAAAAACATTCCATTAAACGAGCAAGCAAGTGATAAATTCTGCTCTCAAAAGTTCTGGAAGAATTTTCTACATCAAACTCCTCTTGTGGTAGGGAAGATCGGTAAGATTTGGGATAAACATTAAATCATATTTTAGTTCGGAATGAAAGTTGAGGTGCGAGTATGTATGTTCACGGTTATGGAATGAAAGAGCAAAATTAATTTTTGTCCGTCCTTTTTGAAAACTGTCTGAAGTACTAGTGGATGGAACATTCCATTCATTTCGGAGACTAGTTTTTCGTTTCTAAGCACTTAAAAACATGCATGATAATTGAGTTTGTATCATTACAGAAATTTAGTACAATATTAATTAAATGAAGAAAATACCTGTAAATTGCATTGGAAGGTAGGAGGAGTGATTGATAATAAAATTGCTTATACAGGTCCGATATTCTTTGAAAGTTTGGATTAAACTATCTTTTTTAGCGTAATTAATGTCACGTTAGCACGATCTTGTTTCTATATTTTTCTATTTTCTCTAATTAATAACCTGATTTGAAGCATGCAATTAACTGTAACTTTTATTTCAGAATCGCATCTCCTTGCTGTTGGGATATTTGTCGTGTTTTACGGTGTGTGCAGTGGCTTGCTAGTGTACGCAACTTATGTGGTAAGTAGGGAAGTAATAGCTTTCCAGCCTTAAAAATGTGCTGTTAAAGTAGAGAACGCGGTACTGCCGTAGAAAAGCGTGGCTCGGAGGGGAGGAGGGGAAAGGGGAGTTAGAAGGAAAGAGGTGAGTTGTCTACTCAAACGCCGCCTTCCCTAAAAAAAAGTGCTAATCTCTGTGAAAGCAATAAATAAAACGAACCGATAGGTGACTTTCACGTGTCGTAAAGTTTGGAGACGCCCTCGAGAAACGGCAAAAACCTCTGTTGTGTGTTTGCCCCCCCCCTCCCTTCTCGCGAACCATCACCCCTTTCGCACAGAACACTTACGCTTTTTCCTACTGCGCTTCCACTCGAAACGTGACACGACCCCTTTCGCTTGGCCAACCTCATCGGACACTTACCAACAGGACGTGTAAATTTTGTAGCAATCAAACCCCGTTTTTGCGCTTACTCAATCACATCCAAACACCCCTTTAGGCGCAGCGCGTTAAAAAACCCACATTTATTCTCCCCATTGTAGCACAACCACTTGACACTCAATGCGCAAATCACAAAGAATATGAAGAGCGAGAAAACGTAACTGTGCGAAAGCAACGTTGCTAATCACTTCGACAACTACCCAGACACAGTCACAGGGACACCGCCACTATTTGATAATAGAGCTCCGACAAGATATTAGGGTGAAATTACCTCCCATAACTTATGAAGTTCGTGACCAATTAATAATGATTGAAAATTATTTAAGTATAATATTTTTATAATTTATTTAGATGCTGTGCGCGCGGCAGCCTCGCTTGCAAAATCGCCCACAGTCTACTTATTATAAGTATGTACTAAGTTACGTACATTGCTCACTAGCCTTCCCCACCGAAAGATTCCCCTTATAAATCCCTAATCACCCCTCGACCCCTCCACCGTGAATTTTCCCCCACATCTGGGGGCGGGGGCGGCGCTAAATGCCGGTTTCAACGATTTCCGCAAGTTGTACCGTGTTCTAGACTTGAACCAAATGTGCGTATTTGGTACGAATAGTGCTATGATAGCGATGGTGTGCCCCTGCAATTGTGTCGGTAGTTGTCGAAGTGACAAGCTACGTGGCTTTCGTAGAGTTAAGAGTTGTTTTTTTTGTGCTTTTTAGATTCTTTGTGATTTGTACGGAAAATGTTGAATATGATGCGTAGGGGGGTAAACAGTAAGAGCAAATAGTTCTCGACGTGTTTTTGTGTTTACTTTTGTGTGAACTTTACTAGTACGATTACATGTATTAAAAATTTTAATTTAAAACGCAGAGTTTCATAGGATGCCAAAAGGTGATTAATTATAGAAGGGGAGGGATTGGATTCTTATGAGAGAGGAGTGTAAGACTTCTTCAGGCAATATGTGTATCCTCATATACTCATTGTAAAATTCAAAAAAAACCTCGCTTTTTCTGTGCACGTGTCTTTTGGGAAATAAAGAAATAAAATAAATTTTCTAAAAAATTGGCTATCAGTTCCGAACATCGCATGTGGAATATCAAAATGAAACACCCTCACTTTACACACACTATTTGCATAGCATTCTTTTACACTAAATTACGTTTTGGGCCAAATTCATGCATCCTTTGCGAGGCGTCCCCGCTCGTCGCCTACTACATTCCTGGTTCGCTTGTTGGTAGGGCCGGCGTTTATTGGCGGAGCCCTGGCTGTTCTGCGAGGGCACGTGCATCCTTTGCGAGGCGTCCTCGCTCGTCGCCTACTACATGCGCAAAGAGGAGGTCACTGCCCGCTGGAACGCCACCGGCGCCTTGTTGTGCCTTGGTAAGTTACGAAGGCTTCCCCCGTTCATTGCCAAAAGCTACGCTTCTATTACACTTGCTCCTTGTGACTTGAAAAGGGCAGTTTATGCGTTCACAATGCGCTTCAATTGTTTGAGTTGACAACGTATTAATTTATTTAGGGTCACTATATGGCTTTACAATGCGCATAATTTTGAATGATTCGCCATTTTATGTAGAAGAATAGATTTTAAGCACAATGCTCTCATAATTTAACGAAATTGTCATAGTTTCATCTAATTCTGTATGATTTCCCGATTTGGACTATGTTTATAGTTTTCCTGTTCAGTTTCTTTTCAATAAGGATTTAAGTACCTAAGTATTCAACTTTCAACTATCTGTTGTGTTGCAATGGGCAGAAAAATAAATATTTTAAATCCAACGTTTATTCAATTATATGACATGTCCTCCCTTTTCAAAAGGAAATATTTTTACTGCAATAATACGTTATTGCTTAAAGGGCAAACGAGACGAGAAGTTAAATAAAATAGCGCCTTTTCTTCAAAAGTTTGCCTAAAAGCAAGTTCTAGGAACATAATAGAAGCAATTAACTAATTTTTCGTACGTAATAACCAATCTTTGCCGAAATTCGGGAGAATGTTCGAGTTTTATTTTTCATTAACTGCACATATCTACTTACAACGAAATTCTCACATCCTTAAAGGTCAAATATAGAATTTTACTGGTGTTTCCATTCTGCTTCCTTCGAACTGTAGTGAGGATTCGAAAATTTCCTATTTTGTCTTAAAAAAGTAAAATTTGATTTTCTCAATTCCTTCCCCAAAACTTTTGGTTTTATTTTAATATAAAATGAAAGAGCGCTATTCCTCAAAAATTTAATTTTCGTCGGTTTTTTTCAAAATGTTTGAGTGAAAAACGTAGGGAATTTTAGAAGAAAAAACGCATAACCATCTTTCAGAATAGCCACTTAGAAAAAAAGTATTTTATTTTAGGTGTGGAATAAAACACCATTTAGTGTTCAGGACCAATTTTTAGCAATAAACACGAAAATTATAAACTTTGACTTACGCTGGATTTGCAATAAAATGTTCCCGTGATGCGAATGCTAAAAAACGTATAATGTTTTAGGAATGACACTCTCTGTCCCTGAGTGGACTAGGGGAGAGATTGCAATGGTGACTTAACATGGTTTTTCAGTGTTTTGGCTGTTATTGGGAAGGGTGATGAATAGGAGGGTATGGTAATCACGGATGGGATAATTAGATGTCCACCATGTCCCGATCGCTTGGCGAAAACATCCCGCAGCTTTGCTCTCCGCGTGCAGTGATGCTGCTCCAAGCCTTGGCAGCTGCAAGTGTTTAGAAGTAACAACAAATAACTATCACGTAGAAACGCACCAAAAATCAAACACTGAAATGTTGTATATAGCACAAAATACCGTTGCAGGATAATGCCTGTAAATTGGTGAAATGTCTATATTATAACTAGTAAAATGTGGCGTCGCCGAGGCTGAAAACCGTTTTTAATAATAGTTTCATGTTTTGAAAATCTCTCATGCCCAGCTTTGATCAATTCTGTTCTTTCAGTATCTGGCATTGGACTTACTAAAGCATCGTAGTAACTGATAATGTGATACTCCGTTCGAAAAAGTTCGCAACATCCAATGGCCTCGTGTGCATTGGTCGACACAATGCATAGTGGAGTGTAACATATTGGGGATGATTTTGAATTCCTGAATTTACAAGCAAAAAATCCCCAAACTTCAACAAAACTGTCACATTAAGGGGGTTTTGTTTCCGGCAAGGCGCGTTCGCTAAACGCAAAATGTTCTCGCCAAACGGGATGCAAGGGCTTTAATTTTTGACTAGTAACTCTTCGCGGGCGACAATAAATGGCACCTCTGGTCGCCAGTTGGACAACCCTGTTCCAGACAATAAAAAAATTGAAAATACATTAGTTTTGATGACAATGCATGTTAATTTAGATTTTGAATAATTTCCCAGACTCATTTCTTTTTAAACAAAACTGATTTTACAATTCGGCTTGAAATAATCCCAATTCTATTTTAAAAACTATTAAATTTGGATATAATATAGGTGTAAAAACAGTATAAATAATTGAATTCATTAAACGTGTTACTGCATCACATTTCCTAATAAAAATAATCACAACCAAACTTATTTTTAAACCAACGACACCCGAAAAAACAGTTACGTTCAATTGTCTCTTCAGCAGCACCGAACTTTGGTGTAAATAATACCAGAAAAATCGTTTACATTTACCAGTTGTGTGCGTCTGAGATTTTATTTTTGACTTTTTTTTTAGCTTTAGCCGGTTTCATGTGGGGCCTTGTGTTCGAGGCGCAGCTGCGGTGGAAGACGGAAGCTTTCGGGGAACGCACGGTGCCTTCACCGCCTCCGTACACGGAGCACAGCCTAGAGCAGCCACATGCCCTCCACGCACCGGGCAAGGCGCACCGGGCCAAGATGACTGTAGTTTAAGCGCGCACCGCTGCGTTGATTTTATTGAATTATGGCGATACTAGACTTGGTGCGTAATTTGACGTTTACGACTACTAACACTTAGGTGATATAGAAATCGAATGGAAAAACTTTTTAAAATTTTTAATTAAGTAGACACAAAAACAATATGGCTAATTTGAATTAACATGACAAATGTAAATACATTGACTATTAAAGGAATAATGCTGATGCGTACTCACGATGTTTCCCTGAATAGAATAGTTGTGATTAGTGATGAATTGACCACGTTGATTAGTAATGGTGACGTCCAGGCCATTGACTGAATCTTGTAATTCGGAAGTAAATTTTTTTTTATGAAGTATGATTATAATAATTCAAGTATGTTATTAAATTTACTAGATAGGATGATACAAAGTACATCATCAATATACCTTTACTAATAAGCTGGTTTAAAATTGTTCAGATGAAGATGAATAGACGACCAATGGTGACTTGTTTTTATACCAGTATAGGTAATAAGTCGGAATAAGTTACCATATACGATTGGGAAAGGTCAATAATGAAATTGATTTTAAAATGTTTAAAAAACGAGTGAAAACGGAAGTTTTTAGGGTTTAAAGTTTGTGGGCATGAATGTTAGATATTTTAGGATTTTGTTTGTAGAGTTGAATAATGGGAGGGTTGAAAGTTCAATTTGTTTTAATTTTAATTTGTATTAAGAAAGGATTTCAATTGATGTTGTTATTCGGAAAATAGGCCGTTTAGACAACATGGAAAAGAAGTCGAAAAAAAGTCTAACTCGCACATTCGCGAATTCTGGTATGTGTAAATAGTTCGTAATATTAATGTGCCTTATTTGTAAATATAGATTGTCTATCTATAAAATAATGAACATTAAATATCAAACTAAAATGTTAATGAAGGTCTTAAAAAGTAAGTAGTTCGCGTTATCATTGTCACTAGGTTTGGGAATTAAGATTCACATATTATTTAGGAAATCATCTTTAGAAGTCAGAATACGTCTCAACAGGAAGCACAACTTGAGGCTGGAATAAAATACAATGGTAGGAAAAGGTTTCAATTGGCGTGCCCAACGAGGGGCAATGTATAGAGAACGCTTTATTGTAGGCCGTTTGAATATTTTGTGGTGTTCTGCGTCCCTTTCTATTATTTTCTATGCTTTAGTTAGTTTCTATCTTCTTAGTGCAATATGTTTACACAAACATGCATTCCATTTTTTGCATAAACGATGATAAGGAGGAACTAGAAAGATAAGTTATAGACCAAAGAAATTTATTTGCGCGTGGGTTCTGAGAATCGCATCGCGTACGAGAAGCGCGTGTCTCAGGAAGAAAAAGATCTTATAACTATTTCAGGAAGCACAGAGAAAACATTTGTTTCGCTTACGATTTACGAGAAGGAAAATTGCAAATTTAAAAAATCTTTGACATCAATATTGATCTTGATGTGGTCAATATACAATAAGTCTGTTTCTTCATGCGACTACATAAAAGTAATCAAATGACCATCTACATCTAATTAAACACGAAGTACAATGTTTATATCTTGGGCGTCTTTTGGCGTTACATTAAACATTGACCAAAAACTCTAATATCCCTTTAGAAATTTATAAACACTCGCATACACAAGCCATACGTTTGAAAACGACCTAGTTAAATTGCAGTAAGTGTTCTGAGAATGGAGCAGGCGAGAAGCAGATGGCCTTGTGTGGCGTTATCTTGCCTATTCATCAAAATACTCTGTGCGAAGCAATCTTTCCCAGATACAAGGGCAACCAAGAGCTACTGACATGAAACTAATTAGATTTCCACAACGATTTCAAATAGAGCTAGTCTGTGGGATGTGACGCTTTAAATTTGCTCGTCGTTCTCAATTTTACAGTAAGTATGACTTCACAGGAAAATACAAAAAAGGAATGAAACTTATTCAAGGACAAAAGAAAAACGAGTGAGGCAACTTATGCAGCGGCCAGACAAAAAGGTGAGGGAAAGAAGAAAGCAGGATATTTGCTGGTCGAGGGCGGTCGTACGGCCCAGACTCGCTCGTCTTTCGCGCCATTTAATGACGTAATTACTTTTGCTACGTCTTATTGACAACTTAATTCCAGTCAGCTTTCCATATTAGATTATTCTTTTCATAGTAATACGAATAACTGTACTTTTATTCAAGTACTCTAGTGCTTGCATAAAGATAATTACTTTAATTTTCACTTTTCGCTACTGCTTACGCAGCATAAAAGAACTTTGTAATGCAGCGGGGAAAAAAGGCGAATTTTCAACAGAAAAATTATTATCGGGCCCTGGTAACGAAAAAATGAGATAAAATGGGATCTTGTCCCTACGTGTAGTAAATTATTTTCTCTGCCACATTGTGTAGTCAGAATCCATGCTCTATGGGTCCTCGATACCGAAGAAGTTAATGATGGAAAAACGTCTGACTTGATGGAATGTCTGAATGATGGAAAAACGTGTGTCCGTCCGTCTGTGGTCAACACTAGCGCATACATCGTTCACCCGATTTTCTCCAAAATTGATATTCCCCAATTAATCTGGCTGATTTCGCGGACCCTTTAATTTGAAACAGAGATTTTAATTTTTCACCGATACATACATTGCACAAAAGGTATAGCCGAATAAGGGGGTGAAATGTGTCCTATAACCAAATCGATCGTGATACTTATGACAGAATTTAAAATGTGGTAAATTCCCCCCAAAAAATCAGTTTTCTAGGTCAATCTGTTGCAGAGATACGAGAAACATGTTCTTCACGTTTTATGTTTTTCTCAGCTTGTTGCATGCATCTGACTGACTGACGTGCATGTATGTGACTGAAAAAATTGCAGAGACGTGAAAAAATAGTTACAATTGAAGATCTTTTTGTAAACAAATTTTTACGCTAAATTCAAATAAAATTTGTTGTTGTTTTTTTTGTAATTAATTTTCGATGTGATAACGTTGCAGTACTATCTCAGTTTTCCTAGAATGTGTCTTATAATATTGTATAACATATTTTTTTCATATTTTTAAACAATCTGGGTGATAATGGAAATACCATTAAAACCTATCTTAGTTTAAACATTTTAAATTCGCGGCAATATTCGGCCATATCATAAAACAATTATTTCCACCATCCCTATACCCTTAATGCAATTTTGCCAAATGTATGTTCGCAAACAAAGTGATCAAGATCAAGTCTGCAAAAATTTATCTGTCGAAATAAAACACATTTCTGTAAAACATTCTTTACGTAATAAATTTGTGTATATATGTACTACTGTCAAGGTGTAGAAGATCTGTACAAAATATAGTAGTGTTGTAAAAGACTTTTCAAGTCTTATAAAAAAAGGGATTGATTTCTACGAAATAGAAAAACAAAACAAAACAAAAAAACAAAAACACCAAAAAAACTTCTGCTTGGATAAATAGAATTTTCTTGACTGAATAGAATATTTCTTGCATAGTTAGCAGTTTGCAACGCTTCGACGCTCGTATGAAATCCGCTTCGAAACACCGGAGTGGATGGTAAGTGGAGAACAAGCTAGACGCATGCGCAATTGGTGGCGGCGCCGCGCGAGTCAGGATTTTGCCGGGGAGTGTACGTCGCAGAGCGGTTGAGAAAACAAAGGAAGGCCGACACCGCGGGATGGCGGGGGAGGGGGGCGTGAGAGAGGGGATGTGATTTGCCGTTGATTATTTGGTTTGGCTTCCCCTTGCGATTGGGTAGCGGACCGTAACACGCAGCCGTGTTCTCTGCGGGCGGGCGAGCGGGCGAGCGGGCCGGCCGGCCTGCAGGCGCTGGTGGCGGTCGTGAAACGAGGGGAAGTGGGGGAGGGGGGGGGAGGAAAGCCTCTGGAGAATACGCAGCATCCGGACACGGCACAAATGGTGCGCCACAGCCGCATTCTCGCAACGCCAGGCCCTATAGGGAAACTTCCATATAACTGTGTGGGAACCATTACAGTGGCGGCGCTCTAGAGCATCACCTTCTTTACGCGAACTGAAATACCGAACTGATACCAAACGGTATTTACAACGTGCGTGAGTTCTCGGGACGCAAACACACGCGCTTGATACAAAAGCTCGCGCCGCTGTACGCGCTACCTTTTCGTTCATGCGTGTATTATTATGAATAAATGAATTGTAGAAGATAAGCACATAGTATTTAACTTCTTTTGTAATTTATTTCAGAAATATAATCAAAGTGTGTTCGTATTTCTTGACACATTTTTACGTGCGAAAGTTGGCGAGCCTTACCAGCAGCTGTATCCGGCGACACTAGCGCGTCCTATAGTAGCAACCTCTATCGTTGTCCCCGATTTTGATGGAGGGTTGCCGGGACCTGGCAACGCCTTTGCGTGGTCACGCTGGAGTAGCTGCGTAGTGCTGCGTAGTGAGGCTCCGATGACACGGCACCAGTAGGCAGTTTTCGTCTCGAGCATAGAGGGATCAACACGCCACCTGCACTATTCAGAGATACGAACCAATGACTTCAGCAGCCTTCAGTTTATCATATAGGTGTGACGTAGTGAAATGAGAAATAAATTCAAATAACAAAATTAAAATAGTATATTAAAAGATTATAAACAAGTTACAATAAATTGCTAATTTTAAACACTCCGGCAACCTTTTCCTTCCAGTACCCTGCTTTACCGCAGAAAAATAAAAGCCACGCGTGATGCGAGCTGTCGGACTTCCGTCCCGTGACAATTACCGTCACATGGCCTGACGCCAAAATTTAAACCGGTCGTGGCGACCGTGTGCCTACAGCACGCGAGATCGTCTGGCCCTTACACTCCGGACATCTCGCCCACACTCCTACACTCCTTGTACTTAAACGTACAACGCTTCCCGATGTAAACTGAATGAGAACGCGGGCGCAGATGGCGCCGCGTTAAATAGTTGAGGGCTACACCCCCCCACCACTGTTCCCTAGATAGGCTCGCTTGCTGTCGGCAAGCGAGGGCTCGCTGGCTAGCATCTCAGGAGGGGGCTACGCCCCCACACACAAGATTCCCAGGTTGGCTCGCCTGCTGTCGGTAAGCGAGGCTCGCTGGCTAGCATCCTAGGAGTTTACAGCCTAAGGTTATTTTTGGCTCTGCTACGCCTACCTGCTTCAACTGCCAGAGCGCAAAATCCCGGAAGTTCAGGCTCAACCCTTTCCTCCCCCGCAGCGCACTTTCACCGACCTAACGGTTCTGGCCCTCGTGTTAACGACGCCAAATAGGTAATACCACGAGTGCTTTGGAAATTGTCGATAAATCCCCGACTCGCGAAGCGAGGGAATTTATCTGAGAATTTCCAAAGCACGAGTGGTATTTAATAGGACTATTCCACGAGTGAAATTATGTCCAGAGAATTTCCAAATTGCATCAAATATTGAACATAACT